TAAAAGGTCAGCCGATCTAACAGTGATCTCATCCCCCAGTCCTCACCCTTGCTCCATATGTGGCCGCCTTTGTAAATCACTAGCGGGTCTTAAGTGCCACTTAAGATTATCGCACAAAATTTTATAACTGAATCAACTCAGATTCTCATACGTCGAAACCGACGAGAGTTCATTATATATATATATATATATATGTGTGTGTGTGTGTGTGTGTGTGTGTGTGTGTGTATGTGCGCGCACGCGTGTGTGTGTGTTTGTGTGTGTGGTCAAACTGACAAATTTTCGTCGGTTGAAATGTTTCCACATGATGTAATTTTGGATTTTATTGTGTACTAATTATTTGCTCTGTAATAATAAATACATTGAGCTCTTTTTGTGGAGAAGTTTTAATATTTTATATTAGTAGGATCCACTTGGATTATATACCAACAGATTTATTACCTTTACTATATATATATATATATATATATATATATATATATATATATATATATATTATTACTTATTATAAACGCAGATTGTGTGTGTGTGTGTGTGTGTGTGTGTGTGTGTGTGTGTGTGTGTGTGTGTCTGTAACGTTTATATATTGGATCGGATTTCTTACATTTTTCAACCGATTTCAGCAAAACTTCACAGGACTACATAAAATTAGCTTGTGGTGGTTCTAACAGTGCCCAAAATGGGAAAAATATAATTGTTTTTGCACAAAATCAATTTGAAAACACGATTAAAAGACATCGTGAAAATGAAAGGGGGACAACTCACATCGGTTTGTTTGTGTGTGTGTGTTACTTTAAATATGGGAGCGGATTTCCTATAGTTTTCAGCCGATAAAACAAAACTTTTAACATTCAGAATGCTTTAAAAATTCCATTTACAAGACAATTGTTTATAATAAAATTCTATTCAATCAGTAGACTCATAACGATTGAAAACAATGTTTTTGTTTGAGTTTGGGTTTGACCAATTCGTAAAAAAAAAAAAAAAAAACTAATTAAGACATGCGTGTCCGTCAACCTTAAACAATAATCTTTGTCAATTTTATTTTTCAATCTTTATGATGGTGGATACTTGATCTATCTCTTACTGTTACATCCCCGGGCAACGCCGGGCTCTACTGCTAGTATATCAGTTATCAGTTCACTTCAAACAAGACAATAACGTCACTACGACGCAAGGAGTTTAGGCAGAAAAGTTAGAAGTCGAAGTAGATATTAGAAGAAACCGGGAACCCAATCCTAAAAGGAAACAAGGGATAAACCTCTACTCCTGTTCATAAGAAAGAAGAAGTGTGTGTCCGGACGATAGACGAACCTATCTACTCCTATTGAGAAACATAAATAAATAGTAAATAAAAATTTCAAAGTTTAGGCAGAGACTTTAGAAGTATAGTGTCGAAGTAGACATTAGAAAAACCGGGAAACCAATCCTAAACTGGAAACAAGGGATAAACCACTACTCCTGTTCAAAAGACTGGAAAGGTGTGTGAACCAGAGTATAGGTGTAATGTTCTTAGATTATGACATTATTTAAGAGAGGTTAAATTTCATTATAATAAATCATGGAGAGGGTTATTATATATATATATATATATATATATATATATATATATATCCGCCAGTTCAGACCTTTACATCTAAGACCAGGCATGCTCTGTCTACAGGCTCGAATCACGGTCACTCTATTCGTATTCCATTAGAACGATGTTTCTTTCAGACAACGTCTTCTCAAGAACTGATACTTTGGAAAAACCTCACGCGTGGATGCTTCCAGTAACACTACAATCTTCACCTCTAGTATCAATCATTATCTAACCGTGGTATCATCATAAGCTACAATTACTTCCACTTCCTCCACTGGTTTTATTCTTGATCTGTTAATCACAACAGATAACGCTCCCTCCCCCAGACACTGTAACTATGATCAGCCCAGCATAGTCACGGCATAAATCACAGATGGATTCTGTCGGTATTGAACAAGCACAAAATGTGCCTGAGCAGGTGTCTGTAACAGGGATTGGCTAGCAGATAGGCATATTCGGATACGAGCGGCAAGCCGTTGCTATTTACTCTCTCCGCTTACGATCGTAACACGCACCTCACGTCCTGGGTATGACAACAAACTCCATCCGGCAGTAAGGCCTCTGGTCGGGAAGTTTCCAGGGGCGTGGAACCTAATCACTATTTAATTGCTATGTTTCCCATGTTAACCCTGACCCTGGGTGGTAGCACCTGTCAGGGTCCCAGCTATAGGCAAATAGTTGACAACTTAAACTGGCGTCAAAATGGAAGTATAAAGTGAAAATACCAGCCATACATATTTTTACTCTCGACAAGAACATTCTTAACAGAAATACGTCAATGAAACCTGATCTACACACTGATTCTACAAACTGAGTTCTTACAAGGAATACCTATTCTCTTCATACGAACCTGAAAATCTTCTTAGCATTAAATAAGCCATTGTTGTAGCATACCTACATGGTATATACCTTTTCACATAATTTTTTTTTTTTAAGCCCAAGCCCAAGCGGTAAGCCACTAGCACGAAAGGGGTTACAGAGGATTTGGAGCGAGAGCGGATAGGAATGATAGAAGAAAGGATGAGGTGAAGGATAGTGGATAGATCAAGGCAACTGGAGATGTCGATTGACATTACATTTGAATAGTTGGAAATTATAGCTACCAGGGAAACAGGAAAAGGGGAGGGAATTCCACGGGCGAGAGGTGCGAGACATGAATCTATTGGAGTAGAAAAGACCGCTACATTTAAAAGTTTCTACAGTGAAAGGGTGAGAGCGGGATGCCAGCCTCGTAGGGCGCTTGAATTCATGAAGTCTGGGAACCAGCGAATGCAGCTCCTCGGAGCAAATGCCATGAAAGTATTTGTAAAAAAAGACTGGGAGGGGCGACGGCACGTCTGTGAGAAAGCGACTGCAGACGAGATGCCAGATCAGGGCCACTTACATTGCATATCCGTCTCTGGATCTTATCAAGAACCCCGAGGTAAACAGAGAGGGCTCCAGACCATATATGGCGAATGGTTGATTTGTAGATTTGAAGGATCGATTCCGGGGAGAAAAATTTCCTGGCGCGGCACAAGGGGCCAACCTTCCTCGCGGTGGACGAAACAGTCGACTCAATGTATTTGTTTGATTTCAGGTAGGCAGACAACGTGAGACCGAGCAGCCGCAGAGAGGTGCTCTCGAGAAGTTGAGCGTCAGACATTCTAATGGGGGCAGGGAATGATCTCTGTGGTGATTAATAGAGAGCAGTACTGTATGTTGGTCTGCAGTTGGAGATTCGTCTCCAGCTGTACTGGTCAAACTCTCAACCTCCGAGCAGAGAAGATCCCTAGACGAGGCTATATCAAAGGGCAGGGTCGCGTCCCAGGAAACAGCTACCCGACAATGTATTATACGGGGTCTATGGGGAAGTTTTGGCTGAGCCTACGGGCTCGGATACCCAACATCAAATTCGGCCTTGTGCCACATCTGACCGTGTGAGGCGGTCGGTAGATATTCTGCAGTTGTAGATTCATTGTAGAATTCACTTGACTCACTTCTAGCAGTTGACTACTACTACTACGCGCCGCAGGCGAATCTTGTATGTATTGTTCTTGTCCTAAGTATTATCGTTCATTACCAACCTACATGTGATTATTCTATTCAGTAACTTTCCCGCTGGATCCCAAGCCATGTTGGAATCCAGGGAAATGAGAAAACCGATTCCTTAGCCAAAGCTGCTCTCAACATGACACCCGACCAAAACATCAAAATCCCATACACTGATCTAAAACATAAAATCAACACAACAATAACACTAAAATGGCAACAACTATGGGACAAAAATACCAACAATAAACTCTACCAAATAGCACCAATTCTAAAGGAAAGGCAACTGAATCTTAAAACAAGAAAAGAACAAACCACCATTGACCGACTACGCATTGGACACACAAGACTGACTCACTCTTTTGTACTAAAACAAGAACCTCCTCCTCCTAAATGTTCCTGTGGAAAACAATACACTGTAAAACATATACTAATAGAATGTACAAATCTCACACACATCTGTAGAAAATTCTATAACACGAAGAACATGAAGAAATTATTTGCAAAATCTGAACCAAAAAATATATTGGATTTTCTAAAAAGAATTTGTCTCTTATCAAAGATATAGACTGATGTATAAACAACATATCCTACCTTTTATCATTTTGCAAATAAATTGTTCTTATCAAATGGAAATTCTTGACTTAAGCAAAAATACCTAGGATTACTTTGCAGTGTGCAAGCAAATAAGCTCTAGGCTGCTAAAAATGTTCCATACAAAATAGGCATTTAAAATTCATATAAACTGGATTTGGCATTAAATAACCCACAGTGGTTGATATACCATAAAACCCCAACAAACAAACAGTGTAACTTTTCCTTGATTACAACAGCCATTGAGGTTGATACGCCATAAAACAAACCAAACCAAGCCCCTTATTCAAAAGCTCTTATTTTTTTAAATTATTCTAAAACTTTTTATGAGGTGAACATTACTGTTGAATAAAGAGCTGCTCGGAATTTCCATGAAAAAATTGAGCATCATTTCTCCGTCATCATTTCTTTGCAAAAGGATGAATGGTTCTACAAAAGCCTTGACCATGGTAATCAAATTATCTCCTCGGGTAATTTAGTTGTCCAGTTCTAAAACTGAATTATTGGACCCTTATTTGTCGAAATCGGCGGTGGAATCTATGCGGAGGCGTTGCAATCTTCTCGATCTGACCTACTTCCTAAATTCAATATTTCCATGGCGAATTTTGGGGTAGAACAGATTATAAAAAAAGTCTTCAGCAATGATATGCCAATTTGAACAACAGAGCGAATATGCGGAACAGGCTGCGTGTTTTATGGCTGGAAGACATTCACTGTCAGGAAGTAGCTAACAATGCTGTCGTAAAGATTGGTAAGCACGGAAGCACTAATGCTATTTTGAGACGTAGACTTTATGTATGTGGCAACTATCTACTTGCTTCCGGTACTAAAAATAACGTGCTGGTCAAGTCAAACAAAGTACACATTGATAAAACATTGATTTTTTTAGTGGCTTCCACGTCCAGATTTTGAAGTGTGGACATAAAGCTGGACTTAGTAAAAGTGATTCATTGTCATGATTTTACGATTTCCCAAACGAAAAATGTTGCAGAAAGAAAGAAAGAAATTGATGAAAAAGCAAACGAATAAAGAATAAAGTGAAAATTTAAAAAATAAAATAGATATGTTGAGTAGTTAAATGCAATTTGAAGACATGACCAACAAACAGAAATGATAACGTGTCCAATAAACAATAACAAAAAGAAGAATAGATCAGGCCAAAATAATAATAAGCAAACAATATATATATATATATATATATATACATATATATATATATATATATAATGCTGGTTAAAACGGAGACTTTAGAAATCCAAAGGAATATTTTATTTCGCAAGACCGATTTCTTGGTCTCCTCTCGGTCTTTCGAAATAAAATATTACTATGAATTACTAAAGTCTCCGTTTTCATCATCATTATTATTTGCTCTGTTCTTACATTGAGCTTTCTTTGGATTTATGTCCTCTTTGGAATTATCCATACAAATTATCAAACAATATTATTATATTATATCATATCTCTATATATATATATATATATATATATATATATATATATATATATCTGTGTGTGTGTGTGTGTGTGTGTACAAGGTCTGTCAACTTTGGTCGCGGCTACCTTACACCAAAACAGGACAAAAGCCTACTTTTGTCTTGCATATATATATATATATATATATATATATATATATATATATATATATATATATATATATATGAGCAAGACAAAATTAGGCAAGGCAATAGTAATAAGGTAAAAAGTTCACAAAAGAAGAATGGTGTTAACACACAAAAGCGATGCAGACAAGTGATCACAGAGTTTTGACTTCAAGACAAGAAAGAATAAAAATATGGTAGTAGTGTGCAATCTCATTGGCTCGGAAGAAATCCCATCATGCACCTGTAAGATGTGTCTATAAGTTTGGAGAGGGGGTCTTTTTGCAGTCATTCCTATGTAAATTAGAACCAACAAAATCAATAATAATAATAAAAAATAATGCTCAGGGTGTTGTGAGCAGGTACGTTGATATGGTAAAGCAGCCATCATTTATTCTTCCATAAAAGAATGTAAAAATGCAATGATTGCAGAAAGCTAATATTACAGTTATATGCTCCTGGTATATCATCATGTTAGATGATAACACAATCCGCTTATTCCTCTTTCAATTATAGATCACACAACGTACCCAGTCCTGTTACTTTTCAAAAAAACTTTATATATATGATAATCCTAAGGAGCCAGGCAAACCTACCTGGATTTCACTTAAACGGATCTTCAGGGTAAAGCCGGCTAAAAAGGAAAATACGAAACCGTTGTTTGTCTTTTTTGTGATTTTTTTAATGTCACGTGGTCATTGTTATTTTTGGTTTTATCAATATATACTGTTCCGTAATTTTCCTTTTTAGCCGGCTTTACCCTGAAGATCCGTTTAGGTGAAACCTAGATAGTTTTGCCTGGCTCCTTAGGATTATCATAGGTTTTGCTCTGCTTCGTGTATTGAGCACTTTATGTAGTTGCCTCTTACTCGTTTTGGGTTTTTTTTTCGACTTGGGGCTTAAACACAACACGTTTGTTTTCGCCTTGTTTTAATGTTCATGGTTCTTTCTTTTTTTATTCCCCATTTTTCCTCGGATACCGATTTGTTCTACTGCAAGTTGAGCTATCCGAGGTTTTTCCAAACGAGTACCACCATTTACACACACATATATATATATATATATATATATATATATATATATATATATATATATATATACTAGTAATAATCTTATAAGTATAAGAAGTTATACTCGATCGGAAAACCTTCGGTGTCTTGATTTGCAAATAATCAAACCAATACCAAAGGGGAAAAAAGGTATAAAAAAAGAAAGAACAAAGAACATTTACGTTAGCCAAAAATAATCGTCTAGCATCCAAGTCCAAAGTCCAAAGAAAAAAACCCGATACGAGTAAGCAAAATAACTAAATAAAGTGCTCAATACGATTAAGTAGAGCAGACCTAATTAAACCTAAAGAGCCAGACGAACCTACCAAGGTTTCACCTACGCAGATCGCCAGGGGAAGCTGATATATATATATATATATATATATATATATATATATAGATAGATAGATAGGTAGATAGATAGATAGATAGATAGATATGCAAGACAAAACTAGGCAAAGCAACAGTAATAAGGCAAAAAGATTCACAAAATAAGAATGGTATTAACACACAAAAGGGATGCACATAAGCGATTGCAGTGTTTTTACTTCCAAGACAAGAAAGAAAATCTGGCAAATGAGACCGAGTAGTGGCCAATCTTATTGGCTAGGAAGAAATCCCAGCATGCATCTGTATGTTTTGGTTATAAATCTGAGAGGGGCATGTTTTTTCAGACATTCCTATAAATTTGAACCAACAGGAACCAGCAAGCTATCCCTCAACAAGAAAGAACAGAAATCTGGTGATGGAAGAGGAAATCAAATCTTTCATCTGTACGATTTGATTCTAAGAGGGGTGTGTTTTTGCAGTCATTCCTAATCGAATTGGAACGAACAAAATCAATAATTAGACGCAAATACATTTGAAATTAGTATGTTACACAATACCAATTTGATAATACTGATAAACCATTGCTTCCTATTTGATAATTTCGGTAACCCATTGTTGCCATTTTGAAAATTAAAACGAATTTTTAGAGATAAGATTAAAGATAAGACTATACAAAAAATGAAGAAAAATCCAAGAGCGGGTGAGAAAAATGGAAATAAATAAAAAAGAAAGAAAAAGGATAAAATACATCAGAATAAACAAGAATTGAAGAATTCAAATACAAAAAATATCTTCAATAGACTTCTTAAAATGTTTCTGGCTTAAAAACGAGGAAGTCGCTTGGAATTTCAAATACAAGTAATAGAATACTCACGTGTGTTCTTCAGAAAGATTCAAAACATGAAAAAGCAAGCGTCCTGAAGTTGAAAGCAGGCTGCTTCTGCTCTTATCATCGCCATAAGACAGACACACGAAATTTTATTACTTACCTAAAAAAGAAAAGAAAAACGTCGTTTTATCATAAAGATTAATTCAAAATCTTTCCAATCGAATATCATTGTATTTCATTACAGACAAAACAAGAGAATCATTTGCCATCATCATCATAATCATCATCACCATCATCATCAATATGATAGAATGTATTATTTACATTATTTACGTCGGGACTAATGTCCTCATCTTTGATGTTAATACTGCGAGGTTTCGGCCTTCATCAGGTGGCTGTCGATAATCCTTTACTTGATCTATGGATATCGGGCCTTCTTTTTTTTTTCTTTTTTTTTTTTTTTGACACTGCTTAATTATTGCTACTCCTGTTGCCACTTAGCCCGAGTCTGTACTTACTCTGTGATTGCAACCATCTGTTTTAAGGTTTTAAGGCTACAAGTTCTAGCTTCTAGATTGTCCAACAGAACAACAGCCTAGTGGATTGAAGGTTTGGCTTGTAAATTTGGTGCCATTTAATAAACATGTGTTCAATCCTTAGGCCGGCAATATATAACTAGTGTTCAAAAAAGAGGAATTCATCTTGACAGGGTATAGGTTGCCTAAGACACACTACGCACGATAAATATCCATTGGGGCATATAGGCGCTGGTTAGGCTCTCAGTTAAGGCAGTGACCACACCCCGGTCATGGGGCTGATGATGATGATGATGATGATGATGATGATGATGATGATGATGATTAAAGAAGAAGAACACGGGATACCATGGACATCCGACCGAGAAACACATTTAAATCGTACATTAAACGTCTTGCCCAAAGGCTGCATACACCTCACGAAGACCGCAGAGCAAAACGGCCAAAACAAAGATGAGGACATGTGTCCGAAAGTAAATAATGTAAATTCAGACGGTTATGATAGCGTGAAGGTTAGGCGACAGTCATTTTCATGGTAACTTTTCTAATAAAAGAAAAATAAAATGCCGTAATTCCCCATATATAATACACCTTCATCCATAATACGCACACCTACAATTGTGCTGAAAGTGTGGGAAAATGCTTGTATTCATGCATAATACGCACTCTTTGTTTGGTAATCAAACCCTATAAATTGTACCTCTCCAATTTCATTAGGGCCAGCTTTTCCTACTATTATTTAAAAAAAAACGGTTTTAAGCATAGAATAATATTCTTCTAATTTAGTTTTCTGATAATTCTTATCTTATTTTACGGCAATTTTTTAAAGTGTTTTTGTAGCTATGCATCATACACACCCGTTATTTTTCTTATTTTTTTTAGAAAAAAATGCGTATTGTACATAGGGAATTACGGTAATTAATATTGAAAACACAGTGAGAGCAAGACAACACATTTGAAAAAAAAAATGGCTTCCTGTTTTTGACCAACACCAGAAGACAGCGGCGGACTGGGTCTAAAAATATTGGTAACAAGGAGACAATGGAACTCCAACAATAACCAGAATGATATTTTTAAATAATAGGTAAAGAAAAAATGAACAATAAATGTCTGTGGAAAAAATGTCTATTTCTGTATTGTACATATTGCGAGCAGTAGATACTAAATTTAAATACAGAATTTTATAATGTTATTTTTATTTAATTTCAAATTTTAAGTAATTGGTTGATATTTTAAATAGGTTACTGGACAAATTACACATTAACAGATAATTTAAAAGCACGATAGATTATTGCATGAAGTCGATTATATTAAACTAGCAGGCTTCGACCACTCGCTATCGCTTCGCAAAGTAAGATATATTCACTAGTTGAAATCTTAGAAATTTTAAATGAACATTTCATTCATAAATTGGCTTGTTATAGTTAAGGAAAGTTTTATAAACAGATGCCAACTTGTTGAAGGCCAAGGAAAACGCAAAT